AGCTGCAGGCGTACTGACTTTTCTGTTGTGGCCAGCTGCAGGCGTACCGGAAGAAGGAAGACAGTACAGTGAGCGCTCGTGCGCACCGTCACCTAGTTTCAGCAGGGACGACATTTTGCCATTCTCACCCCTGCCACTTTTTTCCTGGAGTCTATAGATTTTGTTGTTGCTTTTTAATAAAATGGTGCTTCGTTATGGAAAATATCTTAACTTAGGTGATGAGACACTTTTAACCTTACCCCTTAGAGAGAGCCACTTAATGTATTGTCTTTAAGGGAATAACATGGGTCGCTCTTTTTTTTTTTTTTTTTTTTTTGGTGGGAGGGGGGGGGGGGGGGGGGGGGGGGCAGAGAGAAAGAAATTCTCAAGTCGGCTCCATGCCCAGCATGGAGCTTCACGTGGGGCTCAATCCCATGACCCTGAGATCACGACCCAAGCCGAAACTAAGAGTCTGACATTTTAACGGACTGAGCCACCCAGGCACCCCTAATCTGTGTCATTCTTTTAAATATATTCAATATATTCCATTATATGGATAAACCGTACGTAATTTATCTAGTTCCACATGGGGGAGCATCAGTTTTTCCCTATTAAATAACGTTGAACTAACATCCTCATATCATACCTACCTAAGTGTTTTTTACGGGATAAGTTCTCAGAATTGCTGTGTCAGAGGGTATGAATGTCTTACAGATGTAACGGGTATTGTCAGATTGCCCTCCAAGTGACTATGCCAGTGTACACGTTCAGCAGTGGCAAATGGGACGGTACAGGAGCATTTTAAAGCAAATCCCACACGTCTTACCATTTCATGGGGCAATACTTCAGTATTTCTTGCTAACAGATAAGGACTTTTTTCATTTTTATACGTATTTCTAAAAAATATTATCACTTCTAGCTTTTCCGCCCGCTCCCCCCTCCCCCCGAGTGCCGCTCCGGCTGCACCGCACTCGCTCAGAGCTCCCGGCTTCTGCTAAGGTAGTGCCGCTGTCGTCTCTCTCCAGCCGTCGTCATGATCATCTACCGGGACCTCATCAGCCATGGTGAGATGTTCTCCGACATCTACAAGATCCGGGAGATCGCGGACGGGCTGTGCCTGGAGGTGGAGGGGAAGATGGTCAGTAGGACAGAGGGTAACATTGATGACTCGCTCTTTGGTGGAAATGCTTCGGCTGAAGGCTCGGAGGGCGAAGGTACCGAAAGCACAGTAATCACTGGTATTGATATTGTCATGAACCATCACTGGCAGGAAACCAGCTTCACAAAAGAAGCCTACAAGAAGTACATCAAAGATTACATGAAATCAATCGAAGGCAAACTTGAAGAACAGAGGCCAGAAAGAGTAAAGCCTTTTATGACAGGGGCTGCAGAACAAATCAAGCACATCCTTGCTAATTTCAGAAACTACCAGTTCTTTATTGGTGAAAACATGAATCCAGATGGCATGGTTGCTCTGCTGGACTACCGTGAGGATGGTGTGACCCCATATATGATTTTCTTTAAGGATGGTTTAGAAATGGAGAAATGTTAACGAATTCGGTTGCCCTAATGGGCTGCTCCTCTTCATCCACACGACACCAGGACTTAGACAGATGGGACTGATGGCATCTTGAGCTCTTCATTTGTTTTGACCCTGATTTATTTGGAGTGGAGGCATTGTTTTTAAGAAAAAAACATGTCATGTAGGTTGTCTAAAAATAAAATGCATTTAAACTCAAATAAAATATTATCACTTCTAAAAAAAAAATAGTGTCTTCTATTGTTGGTTTGTTCAAATCAGAACTCACACAGGCATTACAAATGTGTCCTAAGAGAGGCGTTGAAGGGGATGGCCTCCTTTGGAGTTGTGCTGTTTTAAAAGCCTGCTCTGTGCTTATGTAGGTTTGGGACCCCGAGGTGACGGGCTTTTTGTGGTCCAGGTCTGCTTAATAGGTTTCTGATCTGTTTGCTTCTGGGCAGCTCCACACTCAAGGTTCTTTCCTAGACATAGTTTGAAATGCTGCCCTATTTGTTTTTGGCCTTGCTTTCTGTGTCTCGTCCCGATTTCTGGGACATTCCTCGAAGCTCTCTGAAGCCAGTGCCTGGCTGGGGTGGGGCACGGCTGCCTTTCTGTGATCTTGGTGCCAGGCCGAACCATGTGTGCCACTGGGAAGTCTCACAGACTGCTTCTGTCGACATCATTTTGCAGTCTTACTCTCCTATTATTTGGACTGAAGAAACTTTTTCAACCCAGTAAGACTTTTCCTTTCTGGGCTTTTCCTCATTCCTTTCATTTCTGCTTGAAAAGTAGCATTTCTCCCCTGAGCTTGTTGTTGTCTTGAACTCTTCTGCCGAGGCAGTGAGTAGTCAACACACCCTACCACCCTGCCCCTTCCCACGCTTTCCAGAAGCCGGCAGGCCCAGGAGACGCTGCTCGGTGAGAGGCAGCAGTCACCGCAGGTGGGACTTGGGACTTCGCCATGACACGCCAGGCTCTGCAGCACCCCAGCCTGCGGTCTGCTGCCTGACTGCATTTTTTAGGGGTTTTGTTCCCAGCACGTTACCTCGAGATACTCATTCCTGCATCTGTCAGGGTTTGGTCTGGAAAACAGGCACTGCTCTAGGTATTTCAAGCAGGATGGGCTTTAACCAATGACTCAGAGGCTGTGAGACCATTACAGTGCTGGAGTGACAGTGGCGGCGGCGGCGGCAAAGCCAGGGAAGCTGCTGGCAGCTTCCGGAAAATCAGGAAATGCAGGAATGACAGGAACCTGCCGCAGATCAGCTGGGCCTCCCGAAGGACCCCGAGGCTGATGTTCAGGAGGATGCTCTCTCGGAGGCTGGAGGCTGCTGGTGCAAGATTGCACCTGCCCAGAGCCAGAGCCCTGCCTCGGGTGCTTCTGCCAGAGTCCCCTCCGGCCTCCACCGCTCGGGTCGTCTGCTTTGCAGCGCTTGCAGGGGAGCTCGGCCTCTCCCCGCTGGCGGGATTCGGCCGGGAGCTTCCCTGCTGGACAAGGGGGAGCACAGCCTGGGAGGAAACGGTGCTTGGTGCTCGGTGCCAACACACAGCCTAGCTGCCTTTTTCTTTTTTTTTAAGATTTTATTTATTCATTTTAACAGAGACAGAGACAGCGAGAGAGAGAACACAAGCAGGGGGAGTGGGAGAGGGAGAAGCAGGCTTCCCGTGGAGCAGGGAGCCTGAAGTAGGGCTTGATTCCAGGACCCTGGGACCATGACCTGAGCTGAAGGCAGATGCTTAATGACTGAGCCACCCAGGTGCCCTTTTTTTTTTTCAATGTGAGAAAATCCTGTTTACTTGTTTTTCCAGTTGCATTGAGAAATAATCGGCACACATCACTGTGTGGTTTTAAGGCGTACAGCATGATGGTTTGGTTTACATATATTGTGAGACGATGACCACAATAGGTTCAGCTAACACCCGTCTTCTCCTGAAGATACGATATAAAGAAAAAAGGAAACAAAATTTTCTCCTTGTGACCAGGACTCTTAGGACTATTCTCTGACCGACTTTCCCGTATGTCATACGGCGGAGTTAGCTGTGGTCAGTCAGCTTGTGGCGTGTTCCATCCCTGGGACTTACTTATCTTGTAACTGGAAGTGTGTCCCTCTTGACTCTCTTCTCTCCTTTCCCTCTGCTGGCGGCTTCCCTTGAGCTGAGGGGAGCCCCGAACCTTAGAAACCATGGAGTAACGGTCCCCCACGTGTCGGCGTTGTGTTACCCTATCGTCTAGGTAAAAAAGCTTGCTGTCTGGAAGTGAGTACAGAGTATACGCACACGTAAATTTTATCTGTGTAATTATTTTCATTCGTAGACTATAAAGCAATTGTCAAAATAGGAGAGGGAACGTTTTCTGAAGTTATGAAGATGCAGAGCCTGAGGGACGGAAGCTACTACGCGTGCAAGCAGATGAAGCAGCACTTTGAAAGGTAGGCGGGCAGACAGTCTTCGCCACTCAACCAGCTACAGGTTTAGAGCAAGAAGGGCCACTTAGCAATAGTGGGAAAAGTGTATTCATGTAATAACAGGGGATATACAGTCAGCTTTCTCTGGGCAGGGGATTGGGGCTAACTTTATGTTTATGATACTATTCGTGTTTATGATTTTATATGTTTATGAAAACTGTTATGTTTATGATTTTATTCTGGTCCAGGCTTACTGTGATATCAGTGGGTCACAAAACATTTAAATTGTAAAAGTATGCCTCACTTTAAACAGCCTATACGTTCCTGAAAGTTGTATGTCGGACTTTTATAACTGAAACCTTTAGTCTCAATATATTAGAGGTGCTTATGATTTAATTAATTGTGAATCAGTTAATATATTGGAAAACAATTTCCAGTTAGGGTTGGAAAATTTATTCCCTGAAATTTTCAGGATCAGTTGCCGCTTGTGGAGAGTGGAGCTCTCTTGTTCTAGGTTCTGGGAGGACTGCTGTGGCTTTGGCCCTCAGAGCAGTCTCTTAAAATTCCTCAACTTTGCAGCTTCTTAACATAGGGCACTAACGAGTCAGACACCAGACGTGACTAGGAAGCTCTGTCAGAATAATGAAGCAGATGCTGGCCTCACGGCAACTGGGAAGCTTTCAGAAGAGAGACATGAAGCTCAGCCTTTGTTTAACAGCAAAGGAATTGAAGTCTCTAAATAGTAAAAGCTAGTTGTAAAAAAAACACAGTCATTCCCCCACATCGACACAGCCCTCTGAAGTGTTTTGGAGTATAAACCTTGATTTCAGACTCTTAGTACAAAAAAGCGTTTCTCAGATCAGAAAGGAGTTCTGGGCCGTTAGTCATGTCAGAGAGTATGGAGAACAGTAATGTCATCTTCATGACCTCCCCATGGGGTGTCTGTAACCATCCCTGGTTTGCACACGAGGAGAGGTGCTTAGAGATCTGAAGTAGCCTGACAGTCGTCACTATAGGTCACCAGGTGGGCAGAGCTGTATTTGAATCATCCAGATTTCATCAGGCCAGAATCCTCCCCCTTTGCTGCGTAACGCATAAGGTTGTTTACCTGCCACTGCCAAGACTCTGAAGTCACTGCGTCTTCGGCTTTTCCTCTGTTGCTCGCTTCTTCCTCTGTGTATTCTGCATTCTCTAGGTTCCTCTACCTTTATACCTTCCGATGGAGAATTTGATGCACAGTGTACTGATTACCCCATACCTAAAGAGCACACTTCCTGAAACAGCCACCTCTGAGAGATGCACCACAAACCCAGAGTAGCAGAGAAAGGACTTCAAGCCGCGGGGTGGGATGCATTTGCACCCTAGGAGAGGACTGGGTCCCCATCAGATCCCACCGTCAGGGTCAGGGGTGGATGTACTTATAGACAACAGGGCTCGCTAGCTGTTGTTTTTGTGAAGAGGGAGATATAAACAGTGGGTGGGACAAATAGCCTGCAGACTTGAGGCATTTCTGGGCTTGTTTGGATGTCAGAGGAACGTGCAGTCGTGCTCACTCTGTTGAGCCGGCCGTCAGGAGAAATCACACTTGGGCGTGAGTGAGACTTCAGGAAGGTAGAGGTATCTGTAATGCATTATAGAAAGGTTTCCATCAAAGAACCCATCCTTTGAGGGGCAGGGAACGCTCAGTTTTATCTGGAGAAGTACCTTCTTGTGACCTCGGTCCGTCAGGAGAATGTGGTCACCTAAGGGACGTGGTTTCCTAGGGGTGAGGTGCATTCCGGATTCACCAGCTGCCGGGTTCCGGACACGCCAACAGCGCCTTGTCTACTGAGCCTTGGTCCCCTGGTGGTGAGGTGCTTGAGGACTAAGCGAGGGAATGAACAGGGAGTTGGGAGGGAGGGGCGGCACATGGCAACCGTTCAGTGAGTGGTAGCCTTCGTTACTGTGGGTGTGGCCGTTTGTTGTGTTTCAGAAACAGTTAGTGCTCTTTGTCCTCACTTGAAAAATGATTGATTAGAACACATGTTTTTCTTTTAAAAACCTGTAATAAGTAAAGGTTTTCAATAAAATACCACTGAATCAGAGTTACTTTTTATTTTTGTTTTGTTTGCTTATTTATTTAGTAACCTGTACACCCAACATGGGGCTTGAATTCGTGACCCCAAGATCAAGAGTTCCATGCTCCATGGACAGAGCAGCCAGGCTTCCCAGTGTTACTTTTCTATAAAGTTTGTGTATGTTTAGGGGATTATGAACAGGCTTTAGTTTCTGTTGTATAAATCACAATTTCATGTATTGGCTTTACTTAAAAGGAACTACACTTACTCTGGGCTAGTGGAATTTTGTTGCTGTTTGATGTATGGAGTCAGTGATAGTCTCAAGCTGGTTTTGACAGGTATCTGCCAGCTGTGTAATCCAAACCTCAGAGAAATTGGGTTTTGGGTTTGTTCACGTGAGTTCTAATTTGCTCTTGATACATATGTTCAAAACTGTAGGAGATTTGGGCGCCTGGGTGGCTCAGTTGGTTAAGCGACTGCCTTCGGCTCAGGTCATGATCCTGGAGTCCCTGGATCGAGTCCCGCATCGGGCTCCCTGCTCGGCGGGGAGTCTGCTTCTCCCTCTGACCCTCCCCCCATCTCATGTGCTTTCTCTCTCATTCTCTCTGTCTCTCAAATAAATAAATAAAATCTTTAAAAAAAAAAAACTGTAGGAGATTATAACCCAATACTACCATTGTTTATTTCATAATTGTTCCAGCTTAGATTATTCCAGCTGTGGCTTTGGGAGCTCTCTCGGGTTGGCTTCCGTGTTCTTTTGATAAGCTCCATGCTTTTTCTTTTCTTTTCCTTTCCTTTTTTAACACTTTAATTTTTGGCACTACAAGATTCTCTAGGCCCATGTATTTTTCCTGCCCCTAGAATCATCCATTTCTCTAAGGAGTCCTGGTTCCTTTTATTGGAGAAGGGTATTTAGAAAACAAGATCTTCACACTAGGTGTGCTTATTGCTCCTGGAATGTCAATCTCTCTAGACTCAGCAGACAGAGCTAATATGTATACTGATCTGTATGTACACACATCTCTCTCTTTTTCTCTCTCTACCCTCCCATCTGCCTTTTTTTTTTTTAAGGATTTTATTTATTTATTCATGAGAGACAGAGAGAGAGGGACAGAAGCAGGTTCCCAAGGAGCAGGGAGCCCGATGCAGGACTCGATCCAAGGACCCTGGGATCATGACCTGAGCCAAACGCAGACACTTAACCATCTGAGCCACCCAGGCACCCCCCATCTGCCTTTTCAAATAACCATGAGTCCATACTGATAAATAAATGAGTAAATAAATAAATTGGGACAAGGGGACAATTCTTCCTTACAGAAGAATTCCAGTTAATAAATATAGAAGGAATGAGGGAAATAGAAAATCATCAGTAGAATAGCAGTAATAATTTCTGCAGGGAAGATAAGCTGATGGATACTAAAATTAGTAGGTGATGGGACACCTGGGTGGCTCAGTAGTTAAGCTTCTGCCTTCAGCTCAGGTCGTGATCCCAGGGTCCTGGGATTGAGCCCCGCATCAGGCTCCTCGCTCAGTGAGGAGCCTGCTTCTCCCTCTGCCTGCCACTCCCCTTGCTTATGCTCATTCTCTCTCTGACAAATAAATAAATCAAATCTTAAATAAAATAAAATTAGTAGGTGAAACTTTAAAGAGAACAGGATTTCTGCATAGCCTCCAGTGATTTCCCCCCTATTTTTTAATTACTGTGGTGGTTTTAACATATGTCCACAAATGATTTGGTATTCCTTCCTTTGGGAGGTGGGGCTTAATTCCCTGGCCTTTGAGTGTGGGCTACACTTGCTTCTAAGGGATAGAAAGTAGGAAGGGAAAGATAGTAACTTTACAGTGAAAAACCTGGAATATACCACCTTAACTAAATGATTAACACCATCAGTAATAAGACATGTTGATGTCATGTACTTTATGATATAATGGGTTTGAAAGAGCAAGCATATCACCTCAATGGTGTTCTTTCCCAAAGATCCATAATCTCAGTTTAATTACAAGAATACATCCGACCAGCCCAAATTAAGGGGCATTCTACAGAATACCTGGGGGTACCCCTTAAAACTGTCAAGGTAGTAAAAAACAAAGACAGGCAGTATCACAGACTGGCGGTGAGTATGGGAACATGACAACTTAATTGTAAAGAGGTATCCTGGGTCCTGGAAGAGAAAAAGACATTCACGGAAAAACTGGGGAAATCCAAAACTTTATAGTTAATAGAACTGTACCAATGTTAATTTTTTAGTTTTGATAAATCTTGCATAAAGTGTTAACATTAGGGGAAGCTGGGTTACGGGAACTTCCTGTACCGTCTTGTTAACTCTTCTGTTAGTCTAAAATGATTTCAAAGTAAAAAACAAATCAAAATAAACAAAATTAACCATTGGTGATCTGGAATGACTCCTATTGCTCCTAAGCTCCCTCCATTGGTAAAGGTATTGCTGTTATTTCTGACTTACAGGAAGAAATGACCTTACAGTTTCTAGAAGAAAGTTCTAGAAGAAAGCTGCTTTGGGGGTCATTTCTAGGAAGGAGATTGCTAATAATTTGTGGGATGCTCCAGTGGCACTGATACTTGATCCACAAATTTAATGTTCTTTTGTTTTTTTAACCATGAAAATAATATCTCTAGCTTTTGGAGTCCTGGAGTATCTATCAGCATTATTAAACAATTTAATCTTATTCACTTGAAGAATAATTTTAGGTTCTTTAAAAATCCGTTTCTGCTGATTTATCCTCATCTAAGTAAATCCTCAGAGTCACCTTGCACAGTTGTGTGGGTGGATAAGAAACGAGAAGCAGTAACAGGAAAATCACACTGAGTCACACGGGCAGAATGAGGTTGGTATTTGGAGCTTCTGACTCCACCTCCTCCAGGTTTTACTTCTATCCCTTTCCTTTCACTCTTACGGAAATAGAAATGGACAGCGTTTGCAATAATAATTGCACCTGGACGTCCAGGTG